GTGTTGATATTTGCTGACATATACCTTATACTTCTTGAACTCATGTATGTGCTTTTTTATTGTTGATAAGAAGCTTTATAACAAGTTTTTATGAATTCTTTTCCTACCATTTTCTTGTTGCCTTCATCAGTTAACTGTGAGGTTGCCAAAGGCTTTGGCTTCTTTGTAGGGGGTGGGGGGGTTCAGTAATATTAATTGTGCCTCTTTCTCCTCTTTTGCTCTTTGTCTTTGCACTTCTACCTAGCAAATTCTCCTCCTTAGGGCAGTTTTCTAAGCTGTGTCACCCACAGAATTACACGTCAAGTTTACTGATTGTATTTGGTACCAAGTTCTTCATTTTTAGTCATGTATGCCACTTCCTCCAATGAGTTTCAGGCCTGGACTCTATGGTAAGCTTCCACCACAGTTTCCCTCTGTAGCACCAACTCCTGTCTCACCACTCTGCACCTGCTGCGATGCTGTGCTGTGGCCCATTGTTGCTTATGCAGCCTTTCTTCCATGTCTGGTTCAAGTAGTTTCCTGTATTATGGAGAAACAATCCTAAATAACTGTGCTGTTGGTGGTACTGATTTTGCCAGAACCTGCTGCCCATTAGGTCTGAGGGCCACCCAGACCTATTTTGGATGGAACCTGTAGGATGCCATGTTGGTACTGTTTTCCCTCTGGCAGCAGAGCAGCACATTAGGCCAAAAATGATTTTGCTCCCAGCTTAGCACATGTACAGCTCACTGTTGTCCCTCCAGTCCTACAGACTGTGCCACACTATACAGAATGGTGCCTGACATGGCATTGATGGAGTTCTTGGTCTGCTGGCTGTTAGGTCTGGGGGCTGCCCAGACCTATTTTGACTGGAACCAATCAGATGCCATGTCAGTACTGTTTTCCTTATGGATCTGTGCAATGCGCTGAACTGAAAGTGAGTTCGCTCCCTTTCTTCCAGGCTGCAAGCTTAGTGCATGCACAGCTCACTGTTATCCATTCAGTCTCACAGTCTTTGCCACACCTTACAAAATGGCACATGACACGGCACTGGAAGAGTCCTGGATATTCTGGCCATTAGGTCTGGGGACCACCTGGACCTATTTTGGGTGAAACCTCTAGGACACCATGTCAGTGCTGTTTTCCCTGTGGGACCAGTGCAATCCCTGAGCTGGAAGTAAGATCACTCCCATCTTAGTGCATGCACAGTTTACTGTTGTCCTTCCAGTCTCAATGCCTTTGCCACACTATGTAAGATGATGTGGCACTTGTAGAGTTCTGTGTCTGATGGCTGTTAGGTGTAGAGGCCACTCAGACTTATTGTAGGTGGAACCTGTAGGTTATCAAGTCATCACTGGTTTTCCTGTGGTATCAGTGCAATACACTGAGCCAGAAATGTGTTTGATCATGGCTTAACACATGTACATGTGACTGTTTTTCCTTCAGTGAGACTGTTTGTCTCACTGCACAAAACGTTATCGATGTGGCACTGATGGGGATCTGTGCTATGGAAGCCACCCTGTTCCTGCATCAACTGCTTGGGGTCTGCTGCTCTGTCTCTGCTTGTGGTCAAGTCAAACAAATCAGCAGGATGGGAAGTTCTTTGCCTGTGTCTGCCTCTTGAGCTCCTAGTGACCTCCCTTTCCACCTGGCTGTCAATGGAGCTCTAGCTCCTGGTAGAAATTGGATCATTGCTCATTAACCACTGCAGGGGTATCTGTTGTAACACTACTCCAGTGTCTCTGTTGCTTCCCCAAGTCCATGGGTCTCCAGGTTCTGCATTGCCATGAGCCTGTCTTCTCCTATTTCCTGGAATCTGCCCTCTCTGATTCATCCTGGCTAATGATTCTCTTTCTATTTAAACCTGTTCACACCCTATACCACCATCTTGCTTCTCTCCTAGTTAGACTTTTTAAAGCTCACTGAAAAGATGATGCAATTAGGATCCAAAAGGTTAGGCAAATCACTAGACACATCTCCTGGAGGAAAGAACTGGTATTTAAACCCTTTTTGGAAGACTTCAAAAGCTAAAATTTTATTTTCCATTTAGTAACTTCTTATCCAGCCACTAATCGATCTAGCAGTAGCTTGTTTCTTGTGTTAGGCGCAAGGTGTATGAATGGGAAAAAGATGAATATCCTCTCCTCAAGTAGTTAAGTCTAATACCTCAAAATGACTATAACTAGAAATAACTAAGCAGGGTGTGGTAGCAGATATTGAATTCTACTTTCTCAACTTGTGAACTCTGTGGGCAACTGCTTTGTACTTTATTTTTCTTTGCCATAACATGATTATATTACTGACCTATTTCTAAGGGTTGTATGAGTATTGAACAGGATAACACATGTAAAGCACTTAACAACATACTCTGACACGTATACTCACTATGCACAAGATGCTGTGAGTTCACAAAGGATGAGTAAAGCTGTTGTGCCTTGATATGTGTGTCAACGGATGGAGGAAATCATGGAAGAGCTAGCTCCTGGAATGCTGTCCACACAAGTCAGACTTAATTACAGTGGAAATTGGTTGCATAAAGTGTGGAGTAAAGTTGGAAGCCATTTCAGCAAAGCAAATAACATTAAGAAAGATAATGGTGATGAAAAGTCTGACAAGCCTATCTTATAGAAAATGCTAAATAAATATTTGGCTAGTTACATGATGTTATGTCTTGGTAAATCCTCCATAACTTGAAAATATCCAAAGTTGAAACTTCATGCAAAATGCCTGTTTACCAAACATCATTTAGCCTATCTGAATCATGCTCAGATTAATTAGATGATTCTACAATAGGTAAAATTTTCAGTTTTATAGTAAAGTCTTGAAAATCACATGCCTTTTATTGGATAAGTGTTTCCAAAGCACTGGGAGCATGTTACGCTATGGTTAACAGCCTTTTTCCTTAAAGCTGTCAGGTTGACTAGGAGATATGGCTCGTCGTTGCTGTCACTGCTCTCTGTCATGGAGGAGCATTATATACCTCATGATATTATCCTAGGAAAAGATCAAAGTTCGTGTCATACTGAGTGCATGCAGTTTTGAATTTTTATAAGCACTTTTTTTTTAAATCTTAGTTCTAAGTATCGGTTCCCAGGGATTGTCTGCATTTCATAGATTTGGCTTTGAAATGGTTTCCCTCTTCAGACTGCAGCAGGAAAGGCAGTGGTCTTTAATGGTTTCAGGTTATAAGTATTATCTTTTCTGGGTGGTTTCAAAATTTGGCATAATTCGGACATGTGGAAGATGAGACATAGGTAGCCCAGATAAATGGTTTTATAGTGTCTGGAGTAGTGATGATCAGGATATATGTATCAGATTAGAGAAGGAAGAGAGCTGAGAAGACTAACTTAAGAGATATTTAGGAGGGAAAAAAGGTATTTAGGAGTTTGAAAACTCAGAGAATTATAATTTGAGAGAAAAGAGAGTTGGACTAAAGAAAAACAGAGTTGAGAATAACTTGCCTATTTTGACTTAAGCTATTAGTTGTTTATAATTAGGTGTTAATATTACCAATGGGGTGGGAAATGGAGTATTAAATTTATAAAAGAATATGATGAATTTTGTATGGCAAATGCTGTGCATTTGGTATCAGTGGATGACTAATGAATGAGTCTAGAGCCATCAGATACCTGGGCTGGTGATATTTACTAGACAGTCCCTGGCATGTAATAGGTGAGAGATTTTCTAGGTGAAAAGCATGAGAATCCTGGTTGTGCCTCCTTTGGTCATAGATTTCTAAACTTGAATGTCTTCTGTAATTTGATGGGGGAGAATGTGTGCTCACATCAGCCTTCCTGTACCTTCCTGTGTCAAAATAGTGAATGACCTAGAAGCTAAAAAAGGGAGATACAGTTTTAGAAAGAAAATGCTAGAGTGAAGTCAGTCTCCTTGGAGAATTGGCAACTTCCTTTAGACATTTAGTGATGATGTTTTCCTTAGTTAGAATTTTATTTTTAAATATATTTTAACATTTTGAATTACTTCCTTTCTGGCTTAGATTTCTTACTCTCATCCTAATGGCAGTCATTTTTTTTTTGGAAATTTTCTGAGAGGCACCAGGCACATCCAAAATTTTGTAGAAAATGGAATTAAAAGCTTAAGGGTTTCATTTTGTTTTGTTTATTGTGAAAAACTTTTTTGACATTCAGGAAGGGGAAATATCTTCCCAAAGTTGATGAAGAGTGAACATTATGAAATGATGTTCAAACTTATGCGTGAGAATAAAAAAAATTTCACCAAAAGAAATTTATCATTGCAATCCACCTCCCCATGGGCTGCATCTGTAGACTAACAACATGTATAATGCCACAGTTATGGAAAGAGCACCAGCTTTGAGGTCAGATCAGAATTTTATTTATGAATCAGCTACTTTTTGTCAATAGTTCTTGATAGAGTTAATGCCTATGTGAGTCTTAACATCCTTGTTAAAATGTGCTATACCTATCTTACTGAATTATATTTATGATTAAGTTAATGAATAGGTAAAAATAGATGTGGTATATAGTATTTTCCCCCTTACTGTCATTGACTTAATAATATTATTACTGTTGTTTATTGTTACTTTTAATAAATTCAGAACTTAGTTAAGGATAAAATAGTGTTTTAATTCAGTTGATCGTACTAGTAGAAAGTAGTTACATATTGCTTTACTGTGTATCAGCTGATGTTCTAACACTCCACATCTGTTGACGCATAAATGCTTGTAACTATACTGTGAGGTAGCCTCCCTAGTATGGTACCCATTTCACAGATGCAGATGCCGCGGTTTAGAGGTTAAAGGTTGTCTTCAAGTATTCATTAGGAAATGATGGGGCTGGGATTATAGATAATGATGATTCACTTTTTAAGTTCCCATAAAACAAAACTTAGATAATACATTTCTTATGTAAGAAGTTGGTTGTTTCCAAAATATCCATCAAACATAAGTCAACCAGAGAGGTTAGCAGGATTTTCTGACATGGGTGATAGGGTTGAACCATTACCACTGTTATGCTCTGAGCAGTGTCCTTCTCTCATTGCAGCGTGTGAGGTGGAAGCGGGCAAGGTGTACCAGGTCTCTTCAGCAGAGCACATGCAGCCGTTCAAAGAAAACATGGAGCAGTTTATCATTCAAGGTAAACTCGGAAGAGATGTACTTTTCTCCTTCCTCTTCAGCACGAAGTTAGAACAGATTTTTTAAAATGAACATTTATTTAAAAGGTATTTTTTAGTATTAGAAAACTAGACCTCGCTTATTCTTGAGTCACATGGTTGTGAGAGTTTAGCAATTAACTAATCAGAATGTTTTGTGAGTAGTTTTTTTTTTTGCATGATACTAAATATAACAAGTACCAATTTAAATAGCTCAAATGTATAAAGAAATTAAAAGTTTTTTTTTTTTTTTACTTTGTTATAAAAAATCAGATTTGTTTTTGAGTTTTAAGTATGGTTATCACCTCTGTTCTTTCTGATACTTATTTGGCTTGTCAAAATATTGTACCAAAATCACAAAATAACCACTTCTAAGATGTATGGTACATGTTGAGAGAAATAAAGAGATCTTGCCCTAAAAAAAGAAGATGTGATACTGAAGAGAAGAGATATTTGAAGGATAAAAGGAAGGGAACCATATGGAATAGAGATGACAGATGAGTATGTAGCCCTCAGCTTTCAGCAGCTGAGAGATCGCATTAGTAACTCAGACTCCTCTACATGCAGATTTGCATACAGATTTACTGTTCATTATGCAAAAGGCTTAATTCCAGGAGTGTTTTTGATTTCAGGGATTTTTGAATCTTGAAATATTGGGGTTGAGCATGCATAATACTACAATTTGAAACTTGAAATACTCTTTAAAATATCTTTGTTTTCATTATCAGTTAGTTTTTAACAGATTCAGTATAGTTGTAGACACAATTCCAATAACGTAATGATATTCTCTTCTTCCACGGACACCCCAAAGTCTTACCTATTGCTTACAAATTATCAAGCTTCGAGGCCTCTCAGGTTTCAGGGATTGGGGTTAAGGGTGTTTGATTGGTGAGCATGGTCACCTGTCTGTTCCCATGCAAATGGGCGTGGCTAGCAAGCAGGCGACTGCGTGAGTTTGAGAATTAGGCTGCTTCAATCAGACTATTGAGTCAGTGACTTTGTAAGAAATAAAAATAGTAGATTGTCCTTCTGGAGAAGGGTGATATTTGTAGAATAAACAGAGAAAGGAATTGCCACAGTTGTTAACGGTTTGATTGCTAGGAAGAAAACTGACAGAGGCTTTTGTGATGGAAGGCATATTTAGGAAAAGCTTCAGAAAAGAGGAAATGCTCAGAGTGATAGGGGTTAAATAAATAGAACAACATCTTGGGTTGTGAATCTGCAGTTGAAAGTCCCCCCAACCCCCCAAAAACCATTGTTCTTGAATTGGCATAAATAGAAACAAGTTGTCTGAGCTTTGAACATTTATGAGAGACGAGGAAATGGAATGACAGAACTCAGCAGTCATGTTAAAGCTGCTTTCTGGATAACTGTGTCTGATATATATACGGTCGACAATAGTTAATGGAAATACCTGTCATTTACAGCAACGTATGTGATGATTTTTTGTCTGTGATACATGATGAAGAAATTATTTCTTAATTGCAAGGCCACTATGGAGAATTTATTTACTATTTTTTCATGAATTTTGTACCATCTTAAAAGTCGGAACAGAAAACAAAAGATAAGAATAGATGAGGTAATGAGATCAGTAGGGAATCACATACTTTGCTAACATTTCTCACTGAGCGTAGCTTACACTTTCTTTTCTCTTTAATTTTGAATTTATGTGTGTTCTAGAAAAATGCACATATATATATAAACATATATATATGTGTGTTTTTCTGAGCTTTAGATACGGCACATTATTTATTTAGAAATCTTTTGATGTCATTTCCCTGTGAAGCAAATAGATGTTATTTTGGCCTTTACTGACTTTTAGACTCTTGTAAATTGATATGTGTATTTAACAACTTAAGCCAAAAAATTTTTATACATGCATGACAGAAAATATATGGCAATCTTTTTTAACATGGGGTTGATAAGAATTTTTCTGCATGCTATGAAATGATATGAAGTCTGTACAATGGCTTTATAGATAAAAAAAAATGGCTAATGAGATTTATCACGGACCTTGTTCTGCATGTCTCTGGCCTCTCTTTCTGCAAACATTTCTTTCCTAAACTAAGCAGAATAAATCATGCCTGAGACATAGAAATAGAATCAAGATGAAAATGCATAAATCTGTAATCACATGCTGATAATTAAAAGTGTACTGAAACCTAAAGTCTTAAATATGCAACCTGCAGAATTGGTAGTTCTGTACTTGAGAATGAAGAGATGGTGAAAGCAGTGAATATTACCTGTGGCCATAGACTGAGGTGAGGATCTTCTATCAGAAAATGAATACAAGGAACTCTGTAAGCAGTGTTCATTTTTTCAGGATGAGCATGTTTGATGTAGCTTTTGCTTGTTTTCCTGAAAATATAACACAGCACATTTCAAAGTGTTCATGAAGAAGCAAAAATAAAAGTTTATTTTTTGTAAATGTTTTGGAAGTCATGCATAATTTCTTTATAATACATTTTTTTCGTGACCGTTTTGAGATCTCCTACATGCATGGATTTAAAAATTTTTAAGGAAGTACTTCTTTAAAAAAAAAAAAATGTCCTCCTTCCTGTGGTATAAACCCTGAATACGTAGAACAGTTGGAAGTGGGCCAGACTGCAGCCAGAACCTCAGAACTCCGTTTGGATCTGCTGTGTGGGTGACAGGGATCCGAGTTCATGGAGCATCACTGGTGTGCTAAATGCCTGTACTCTCAAAAATTTCTATGCTAAAGTAAGCTTAATTCCATTTTCCATAAACACTTTAAAGTTCCTTCAGAAGATACTTCTACCTGAAAAAAGTTGAATTTTATTATACCTTTTCATTGACCACTTAAAATTGAGACAGAATCAAAATTGTCTTTAAGCAATGTTCTACTCAATATCATGCCTTAAAATTTACCTCACATGCGAATTTTCTATATAAATACATCATCTCATTATTGCACTTAGGGACATAATAGAGTATCATCACTCTTTTCTGGGGGTTCCTCAGTCACCAAAAACAAACAAGAAAACAAACCCAACAAAAATGAAAAAAAATGTATCTTTACACGGGAGGAGAAAACTCATTTACTTACAGTGAAGTAAGAGGTGAAGTAAGAAGCTTTAGGGCCACCGTGTTAAAGCTCTCTTGGGAATATAAATATATATGAATACAGTCCATAGATACACATGCTTGTGTTTTAGTCAAAATGAGATTTAACTGAGCCACCACAGACACCTAAATAGAACAGAATCAGTACCTCAACCCTTCTGTCTACCTTTCCCTAAACTTACATGTGTGTCACTTTGTTCAGCTTTGTGGTTAGCATTTCTAAGATACATCTTTACATTTTTGTAAAGATATTAATTACAACCAATTTGTTTAGTTTTGTGACTTTATCCACTTAAAAGTGGCCATATAGATATTCTTTTCTGTCACTATTTTTTCTGACCACTGAATATTGGTTTTTGTAATTCTTCCATGATAATTGCAAATATTGGCATACCTCATTAATTTTTATTCCACTGCAGGACTGTGATACAGCACAGTATTGTATTTTTTCTTCCTTTTAAAAATTTATTATGTTAAATGTTGACTTGAATGTTGTTTGGGCTCAGGGTCCCCAGTGTATATGCTCACTTTCACTGGTACAAGCCTAGGACTGGGTTTACTATGATACAGGGTCTTTGAACATCCAACCTTCGGGGTACAAACTGTTTTAAAAGTTGATTACCTTCAATTTGTTTTACTCCATTTGTGCCAAATCCTTGCCAACACTTGGTTCTTAATATTTTCTTATCTAACTCACTGTTTAAAATGCTGTTACACTAAATTTTCACTTGTATTTTCCAATTTATTTCTGAAAAGTAGTGCTTTTTTATATCTTAACACTTGCTTCTCCTATTAAATGCCTTTTCACACTTTTTTTTGGATTATCTATTTTTTACCTAAGCATTAAGAATAATTTGTAGAATATTATGAAAATGCTAACTGCTGAAATGTTGTATATACCTCTCCCACTTCAGAGCATATGTGTTCACCTTTCTTTGCAAACTGTTCATTAGCAGAAGAATTTGTTTTAATCTCTGTGTAGTGATACTGATCAGTCGTTACACCCAGGGTATATACTTTTGCTTTATTTTTTAAAAATCCCTTTTTTGCTGCAAATTTATAAATTCATTGTCATTTCTTAGAAAAATTTTATACTACCAGTTTCCATTTAATCATTTGATTTCTCTAAAATTGATTTTTCCCATGGTTTTAAACATGAATTTAATTTTCTATCATTTGGCATAGTATCTTAGTTCACTATTGTGTGATGAATGAACCATGTTTACTAACATTGAATAACATTTCTATCATGGGAAAGCTTCTCATACACGTCTTTATGTTTTCTTGGGTTTTCTCTTTACTGTTGCTTAGGTGTTAGCCAGCTGGAGAAGGAGTGTAATTCATTACTGTCTTATTTTCTATTGTGTTCTAATAGTTTTAAAAGCTGAAAAAACCCTCCTCCTTCTTTAGGAGTATTGTGTTTCTTGTTGTGTTGCTTGTTGGCAATTTATTCTTATGTATAAAATAAGAGTATAGTTATTGTTAAGTAACCTATAGATCAGAGTGAAAGAGAAATGAAATCTTCATGATAACAAAACTGTCTACGAATCAGGAAAAGACTGGTATTTTTTGTTGTTGTTTTAATATCTTCCTAAAGGTTTTACAATCTTTAAAACAAGGTTTTATTTAGTTTAATTTTTATTGGAAAGATTGTTCATTTACTGGCTTACTCCCCAAGTGGCTGCAATGGCTGCAATGACTGGAACTGAGTTGATCCAAAGCCAGGAGTCTATTCCAGGTCTCCCACACCTGTGCAGGGTCCCAAGACTCTGGGCCGTCTTTGACTGCTTTCCCAGGCCACAAGCAGGGAGCTGGATGGGAAGCCAGGCCACAGGTTTAGAACCAGCGCCCATATGGGATGCCAGCACATGTAAGGTAAGGATGTTAGCTGCTAGACTAT